AATGGAAACATAAACCATGATCATGAATACGAAGAATTAACATTAAAATGTCCATACTACCCAAAACAATCCACAGATGTGATGCCATCCCTATCAAAATACAATAGCATTTTTCACAGAATTAGAACAAATAATTCTAAAATTTATCTGAAACCATAAAATCCCCCTCAATGGCCACAAAAATCTTGAGACAGAAGAACAAAGTTGGAGGCTTCGTGCTACCTGATATCAAACCATACTACATGGCTACAAACTATACTACAAAACATACCACAAGTAATCAAAATGGCATGGTCCTGGAATAAAAAACAGACACAAAGATCAATGAAACAGAATAGAGAGCTCAGAAATAAACCCACACCTATATGGTTGATTAATCTATGACAAAGAATCATAGATTAATAAAGAATATACAATGGGGTAAAGACAGTCTATTCAATAAATGGTGTTGGGAAAATTGGACAGATACATGCAAAAATATTAAACTAGACAACCTTTTTACATCATATATAAGAATAAACACAAAATGGATTAAAGGCTTAAATGTAAGACCTGAAACCATAAAACTCCTAGAAGAAAACATAGGCAGTAAACTCCTTGACATTTCTCTTAGTAATATTTTTTCTGCTATAATTCCTCAGGTAAGGGAAACAGAAGAAACAATAAATGGGACTACATCAAATTGAAAAGTTTTTGCATAGCAAAGGAAACCACCAATAAGAGGAAAAGACAACCTACAGATTGGGAGAAAATATTCACCAATAATAGATACAATAAGGAGTTAATATCTAAAATTTATAAAGAACTCATACAACTCAACACCAAAAAAAATAAAATAAAATCCAATTAAAAACTGGGCACAGAACCTGAATAGATATTTCTCCAAAGAGGACATAGAGATGCTCAGTCACATAGACATGAAAAGATGCTCAGTCACTAATCATTGGAGAAACACAAATTAAAAGCACAATGAGATTATCACTTCACACTGGTCAGAATGGCTATCATCAATAAATCAATAAACAACAAGTACTGGTAAGGATGTAGAGAAAAGGGAACCATTTGTACACTGTTGGTGAGATTGTAGACTGGTGTGGCCATTATGAAAAACTGTATGGAGTTTCCTCAAAATGTTAAAAATAGAATTACCTTATGCATCCTTATATTCTTCACAGCATTATTTACAATAGCCAACATGTGGAAGCAACCTAAGTGTCCATCAATAGATTACTGGATAAAGAAGGTATGGTATATCTATCTACACAATGGTATATTACTCAACCATAAAAAAATGAAATTCTACGATTTGCGACAACAACGATGGACTTAGAGAGTATTATGCTAACTGAAATAAATCAGACAGAGAAAGGCAAGTACTATATGATCTTGCTTATACATGGAATTTAAAGAACAAAATAAATGAACAAACAAAATAGAAACAGACTCAAATATAGAGAACAATCCGATGGTTGACAAATGGGAGGGGGTTGGGGGATTGGGTGAAAGAGGTGAAGGGATTAAAAAGTACGAATTGGTATTTACAAAATATTCATAGGGATGTAAAGTAAGCATAAGGAATATAGTAATAATATTGTAATAACTATGTATGGTGATAGGTAGATACTAGACTTACTGGAGGGATCACTGTGTAAATTATATAAATGTCCGACTACTATGCTGTACACCTGAAACTAATATAAAATAATACTGAATGTCAACTCTAATAAAAAGAAATAAAACAAAAATAAATGCAGGTGTAGGAAAAAAAAAAACACAGAAGTCCCAAGCAAGTTTCAAATTTAGCAGAGCAAATCCGATTAGATTTCCAGGCCTGAAAATGACCCTCTGTGGCTTGTTCCTCTGCCCTCTAGACCCATGAAGACTCCAGTGGCCCCTGCTCTTGACACCATCCACAGCTCTACCCTTGGAATCATTCTTCCTTTTCTCGAAGAATAACGCATGTTTGTAGCTCAGTAGCTCTATCAGTTCATTTCCTGCATGTGGAATCCCACAAGTCCAACTGCTTTTCTTTATTCCATTTCCTCAGTTCTCTGTCCCTTTCAGTCCAGGCTGGCAATGTTTTTAGTGCCATAACATTCTCAAAAAGCTTGTGGGTCTCTCTCATGTATGTCATGTATGTCCAGATCCCTCCTGGATAAGCCCACCTCTCTTCCTAGCTTCTGCTGAAATGTTTGATTAAATCCATGAGTCACATACCTCATCTTTTCAGCAAAGGCTGTCTAGCCTTTCCCTTGGCCTTTCGCCACAGCATGCATTCTCAAGGAGAATTTCCTACCTGTAGCACCCTTTGGAATCTGGACAGGCCGAGACTCTCCTAAATCATCAAGTGCTGGTTCCTTTTTGCTAATAGTTCCTTCTTTGATCCATTCCCTTCCTCTCAAGTTTATTATAATCAGCAAAAGAAAATCAGGCTGCATCTTCCACATTTTGCTTGGAAAACTCCTCAACCAAATATCCAAGTTCACTGCTTATAAGTCTAGTTTCCCTAACTAGTAAATCAGAAAATCAAATAGCCATCTACAGCAAGAGGGTTAAAAAGTAGGCTGGAGGACAACAGGTGCACAAAAGCAAAAGGAGTATTAAAATTATATTTGACAAGCACCTTCCACATACCCAAGTACTAGATTAGTAACTGGGATCCTGATAGGCAAGTCTCATCTTTATAAGGACAAGGAGAGTAGCCAAAGACCTCAGAACATGCCCCAACTCAAACATCCTTATCTACTTAACGTAGCCAACTATCTCTGCCTCAGCCCTCCCCCATACCCTTGGTCCTACCATTGTAGCCACTGATCCTATCATCGTAGCCACTGATCCTATCATCATATACCTTTTCCTCTCTCTAGAGCCTCAAGTACCTCCCAATTCAAAGTATGTCTCCTACAGAGCCCTCTTCTGACACCTCCTTCCTACTCCCAGCTACTCTCCCAGGCAGCAGACATATCTTCTCCCAGGGCAGAGGGGATACCAGATCAGGGTGGCTGCAAAGGGTCTGCCTCAGGGAGCACAGAGAATGGAAAGAAATTTAACATCTGATTCAGTCTCTGTTAGCTAAGTATTAACACACAGTCACTATTATAATCTTAATTTTGTTAAATATGTTTAGTTTACTTTCATAATTTTGTGCTTTATTTTTTAAGATTTGCACTTTTAGTCCCTGGCATAACATGGATTTGATTTAAGTGGTCTTTATCCGGGACTAATGGTCTTCAGAGAAGGATCCACAACAGCCAGTAGAGGAGGGGATCACGACCCACAGTGTCAGGGGAGGTCCTAGGACATAGAAGAGCAGGGCCTCACCCTCCAAACTTTGCCAGCCTTGGGCCTATAAAAGAAGCTTTTCTTTGGTTGGTCTTTCCTGGTCAGGAGACTCTTCCCTAATACCCCTAGCCCTGCAGGAAGAAGTGGCGGTCACACTGCCATAAAATGAGTGGAGGAGGAGATTTTAACCTGAGATTTCCTTTACCTGGGGAAGCCCAGCCCATTCCTCTCACTCTTGAAATGCCCCTTTTCTATATCTTCTCCAGCTGCCCTAGACCAGGAATGGCCAACACAAGGTACAGGTGCTCCCTTGCCCTCCCCTTGCTTAGGACAGACACTGTGATCTTGGCCCTCCCTGTCCTAGTGTGATGGTAAATATTATGTGTCAAGTTGGCTATGCCATTATATCCAGATATTTTGTCAAGCATTATCCTGGATGTTTCTGTGAGGGCGTTCTGAGATGAGATTAACATTTAAATGGGTAGACTGAGTAAAGCAGATGACCCTCCATCGTGAGGCTGAACCCAATCTAATCAGTTGAAGGCCTGAATAGAAAAAGACTGACTTCCCTGGAAGAGAAAACTCTGCCAGCTGACAGCCTTTTGACTCAAATTGCAACCCTTCCCTGGGTTTCCATCTTGCTGGCCCACCCTGCGGATTATGAGGGACTTGCCAGGCCTCATAATTATATGAGCCAATTCCTTAAAAGTACATATCTCTCTCTGTATAAATGTATGTACAAATACTTTTGGTTCTCTTTCTCTGAAGGACCTTGACTAATACACATAGTGAGCAAGATAACCTTAGAATCCACATCAATACAGCCCTCCAGGAAGAATCCTCTGTTAGCACACAAACTGAATTCATTCTCCAGGACTGTGAGTACATCCAGCAACTGGTACTCCCTGGTTGAAGTGCATGCCAGTATTTCCCTGTGCTCTGGGGTTGTCTGAGAACGAGAGAACTGCCCTGGACCCTGAATTCCTGGTAGGGTCTTCCTAGTTCTAACTAGCCCTTGTTCCCCATCCTTTATTCCCCTTGAAGGGGAAGAGTGGTCAGGGAGGCTATAAGTTTTCTTTTCCAGTAAACTAAAACCATAAGAAAGCCCAATGAAGAAAAGAAATATCAAGGCCACTGGATACCTTTTAAATTGAAGCCAGGCCAGAAGTTACCAGAAGGTGGGAGTGATGGGGAGAGGCCATCCTTTTCATAGGTCTCCTAAGGGATGACATCTATCTGCCAGTGGTCACTAGGAGTGTGAAACTCATCTAGATGTCTTCCAGATTGTATGACTGAGCAACACAAGATTCTAATTGAGTTTAATTTGAAATTTCTGTGATTGAGCCAAAGGTACCCAGAAATCAGTCCGCATATACTTGCCACCCTGACCCAGGGAGCTTGTAGGAAGGAGGGTTCACACCCAACACCTCACTTGTTGACCAAGTGGTCCGGAGCCCCACCGTACTTCTGGAGCCTCAGTTTCATTATCTATAAAGAATATCTACTTGGGAGATTCAACACAGCACACCCGATAAATGGGTATTGTTATGAGAATTAGAGGAGTGGTAGTTCTAGAATCCAGGAAGGGCAGAAGCAAAGCAGAGCCAGCTGGCCAGTCCCAGGGAACAGGCCCAGCAGGCTTAGCAGCTGGAGACAAAGGGACCATCCCCTTCCCTCAACACCTGACAGGGAAAAAGAAAGGACAAGGTAAGACTGACCTTAAGAGCAGGAATCTCCACGTTGTCACCGAGGCTGATGGAGCCTGAGAGGATGGTTCCTGTCATCACAGTGCCCTGGCCTTTAATGGAGAAGCAGTGGTCCACAGACATGAGGAATGGTCCCGAAGGGTCTCTCATTGGGATGGAAATCTGGGATGTCAGGAGCTAGAAAAGAGATGCTGGTACCACACTCTGTTGGGAGAGGACTGGATGGAGCAGGGCAGAGGAGAGCAGAGGGTAGGACGGTGCCCAGGCAGTCTAGCCCAGAAAATCAGAAATGTATAATTCCCTAACTGCACTCTAAACTTCTGCCATGCTCTGTTCCTTCCCTCAGTGCAAAGGAAAAGGGCACTTGGAGAAGCCTCATCTATTCTCTCTCATTGGGATTACTGCAACAGTCTTCGAACAGGCTGGGCCTCCAAGCCCTTGTCCACACTGCAGCAGAGGCAGCCTGCTATAGGACACCCTTGGTTACATTGCTCCCTGGCTTCACATGCTTTCCAAGCCTCCTGACATCTATAGAATCTAAGATTCATCATCATCTGGCCCCTAGGTACTGCTGAGGCCTAACCTCCCACCACTTGCCCTTTTGCGCCAGGCACCAGCCACTGGCAGGCCCATAAGTTCACCAGCCTGTCTAGCCTCACTCATCCTTCTTCCAGGAAGGCAGGTGGGGAATATTGCCTCTGGAAAGGCTTTGCTGCCCTTTTTGTATGGCTGAATTCCCCACCCACCATCGCCACAGTTAACATGCCATTGTGATCATCTGTTTATTTGTCTCCCCTCCCAGGGCTGTGAGTACTTCCAAGTATCTCCAGCAGTTGGCATCTTGCTTGAGAGGACAAGTGACTGAAGGAAAACTGAAGGATTTGAGGAGAAAAAGAATGTTCCCAGAGGCAACTGCCTGTGTTTGACAGAGCAGGAAGGGTGAAGGCCACTTCTCCAAGCCCGCGGCAGAGACAGAGGGATGATCTAACATCTGCAAAGGGCTAGTGCTGCCCCTGTTTGTGGTTCTGCTTTTCATTCTCTGTTGACTCTTTCCTCATGCTTCAATCTCAATTGGCCCATTTTTCTCATGCCATCTATGTGCTTGGGGATAGTGTCAAAGCTAATTACCATTAAACAAATGAAAATAATTCCTTTTATTTTGCTACTTTCTAATTTCACTAGGGAATAGGCTGTCAAAAAAGTATTTTCTTAGTGAATGTTCCAAATTCATTCTTGTGATAATAATTCTTTTAGAAAAAGACTAGAGATTCAAAACAGGCTTGGCCTGAGATTTATGCAGACGCTTCTTAAAGGAATATACAAACATCTTTCACAGCAGTATTTTTGTGGATTTTGCTTTAACAAACACAACTGTCCCAGGTTCCTGAATCAGTGATACCTAGAGCTGATGAAAAAAAACCAAAAGCCTTACCCATTAAATATTAGTTTTTCTAAGTTAGCAAGATTAGTACTGGGTAATTCCAGAAATGGTAGCACATACCATCACACCTGATCTTGGCTCTGTGGATCCAGAAGCAGGTGGATCCCAAAGCTCATCCTGCAACCGACCCAAGTCTGAATCCCAGCTTCACCACATACTCACAGTGAGACCTTGGGCAAGTTACTTAACCTCTCTGAATTTCAGACTCTTCCTTGGTAAAATGGGGATAAATAATTTAAGCCTCCTAGGGTCACTGTGAATGTTAATGATCTTAGCACAGTGCCTGGTATTGAAAAATCAACCTCACCATCATAGTAAATTCTGATATAGCACTGTTCCGAGCACATTATATACATTAATTCATTTAACCCTCACACTGACTCCATAAGAGAGTGGTGTTATTATCTTCCCTACTTTATAAGTGAGGGAACTGAGGCAAGAGAGAGCAGGTCATGTGCCTAAGGTCACAGAGAGAGCAGGTGGTGGAGCCAGCACTGCAACCTGCCATCCAGCCCCAGAGTCAATGCGCCTCACCACTCTAACCCTCTGAGCTACCCCAAGTGCTTAGCAGAGGGACACTGCAGTCCTCAGTCTCACTTCCATTTCCATAGAAGTATTACACCATTCCCTCCACCTCTACCCTGCCCACTAGCTGTCCTGGGCACCCTCCATCTACTACTACCCAGCCTAGAGGAATGGCCTGGGTCTCAGGCCCATAGCTTTCGAAGGTGAAGCCTCCACTGCTTTGATAGAAGCACTGCCTCTGCTGCTAGGCCCACCTCCTAACCCCTGCCTCACTGGCCCCCAGCCCAGGTGGGACACACTGGAGGGGCTGGTACAATCTGAAGGAACTGGACAAATGACATGGCCCCAGAATTCCAGGCTGGCTGGAGCTACTTTGTCAAGTGGAGGTGTTTGACAAGAGAAAGGAAAAAGAAAGGGTTAGAAAGGTGGAAGCCTTTGGTTGTGTTTGGGCTTAACTTTCTGAGAGAGGATGCATTAAGGTGTGTAGGATTGGTTTAAAGGAACCGCCTCAGAGTCCTCTTGCTGGAGATGCCTCTCTCTTTCTCTCTCAGGCTGAGCAGAACACAAAGGAACCTGCCTGAGCAGGGCTGGGGCCAGAGACCAAACAGGATTCAAGCTGCAAGTACCTCAATGAGCTCTGAGATGCCCTGTGGAGCTTCTGTTTCGGGGGCCTCTGGTCCCCCGGGCTTGGCCGCCACAGGTATAATCGGTGCACCTCGGAACCTAGAACAGAAAAACAAGTCCCACCACAGTTAGAGAGATCATCAGCATGGACACAGAGCAACTCTGTGAAGCACCTGGCAGATCACCAAGCACAACAGGTGTTCTCTCCTTTCCTCCTTTCAGAAGTGTCTAGAAAGAGAGTGCCATCCTATTCTACTTAGCAGATGAGAAAATGGAGGCCTCAAGGGGAAATGCCTTATATTGAATGACAGAATTTAAAAAGGTGCTCTTGGGTTTTAACCTCCACTTTCAGAACCCTCTCTGAGAAGGCAGCAGTAAACCCTGGGCCCCAGGACTCCGAACAATATACCCCTTAAAGAAGGCCAATAAATGTATACCTCCCACCCTCCTGCAGAGACTCCGAAAATACTGGTAACCAAAAGTCCCTGAAGATGCACCTGAGAGCACATCTCCACCATCCCAGTCCTATGGAGGCCATTCCTCCCAGAACCTTCCCAGAGAGCCCTTGTTTTTTAAGAAGAGATTTATTTATTCCATTAAAAAAAAAAAAATGGAAAAAGAAAAGTATACGACCCATAATCCCATCATTGCAGTGTGCTGTCTTCCAACCTTGGTTTTTCAATGCATTATATTTTTATAATGCATTATGTTTTTCATATTTTGGTTATAGTATACATACAATTTCACATCCCAGTTTATTTACTGTTGAATGATAGCAACAACAATGATGATAACTCACTTGGCTGAGCCAAGCATATACCCTGGACCCTTTCACTGAAACCTTACATCACTATGGTATTGTCACCATGAGAAACTGAGGCTTAGAAAGCCAGATTAATTTGCTCCAAGTACTTGACTATAAATCTCAGAGCCAAACTCCAACCCAGTCCATCTGACCCTAGAACCAAGGCTCACAACTTCTATGTTACACTCCTACCTCCCTAGGCCTCCGTTTTCATATTTAACAGCTACGTAAGAGTGTGACCCAAAATTTACATGTTTTCCCCCATACTGTTACTCATTTAGAACATTTCAAGTTTTTCACTAATATAAAATAATACTATGATAAAGATATTGATGGACATGACTGACTTTTTATTTTTTTGCCTTACTTTGGGATGAATTCAGAGAGTATAAGTCTAAAGACTTATAAGACTCAACATATATTGAAAAATCAGCAAAATGGTAGAGTAAGGACATTCAAAAAGCCTCTCTTCCATAAAAGTAATAAGAACACTGGCAAAATTACCAGATTAAACTTCTATAGAATTCTAGAAATTAACCAAAGGCAATCTATGGAATGTTTATTTAAGAAAAACAGCTAAACCTCGGTACAAATAAGAGAGCTTTGTGGCATTTTAACTTGTCTTATTCCCATTCACCCCTCCTCAACTCTACTGTAGCCTTAATACCAGCATCTGCAACCAGAGTAGAAACCAGCAGGCTGACAGCCACTAACGAGTGCAGAATTGGTTTGAATTCCATCAAAGCCCCTCTCACAAAGAACTGTCATATTTTTTCCTATTTGGAAGTTCCCTGGAAGACCTCACTTTGCCAAGTTATTTTTATTTGGCCTGCTTTGGAGCTTGCCCAGTGCAAAAAGAAAAAAAAAAGGCAACCAAGAATTCTATATTTAGCAAAAATATGCTTCAAAAATGAAGAAAAACAGAATTACCACATGACCCAGATACTTCCTAAGTATATATCCAAAAGAATGGAAAACAAGTACTCAAATATATGTACATGTATGTGCACAGCAGCACTATTCACAGAAGGCAAAAGATGGTAGTAGCTTGTGTCCATCCATGCTAAGTGAAAATGTAAAAGAAGCCAGACATGGAAAGTCACGTATTATGTGATTCCATTTATATGAAATATCCAGAATAGGCAAGTCCATTGAGACAGAAAACAAATTCATGCTTCCAAAGAATAGGGAGTAATTGCTTAATGAGTACAGAGTTTCTGAAAATAGTGGTGATGGTTGTGTAACTTTGTATACATTAAAAGGGTGAATTTTATGGTATATGAATATTTCAAAGAAGAAAAAAACATACATTAAAAGATCTGCTACCCTTTTCACTACCATGATAGATATCTGAGATGCCTATTTCCCTGCACATACATCAAAATATCATTATTTTTTAGACATACCTCCTTTTAATTTTTATTTCCTTAATAAGCCATGTAACACTGAACATCTTCTACCTATTTATTTTTTAAATGTATTTTCAAGAGACATTTCTGCAGCACTTCTAGTTCTGGACTTTGCTTTCTCCGATAAGTGCCATCCTTACCCTCCGCTGACTCTAAAAACTGCTCTTGTGTGCCTCTTTGTGTATGGTCTAGTGTCCAACTCAGTGGGAGTGAGGGGAAAGGATGGTGTCATTTACCTATAGTACCAGTGCCTGTGCTAGGGGTTTTGCACTCCTATATCCTCATCCCAACTCTGTGAGGTGGCTGTTATTACTCTCTTCCCATTTTACAGAAGACAGTCCTAAGCTTGGCTAGGTTCTGTAGCATGTTCCAGGTCACACAGCTCATGAGTGGGGGCGCTGTGATTAAAAGCCAAGTCTGGGTTCACCTTGAGAATATAATGAGAACAATGCTCCATCAGCCTGGTTTAGAGGCAGGAGTATGTGTCTCTTCTCAAATCCATGAGAATTTAGAAAGTTGCTGCTCTTCAAATATTAGGGAATGTAACATATTTAAGTCCTATAAACAGATTAATGAAACCCTTGCCCTCTGGTAATTTTAGTATTCAAAGCCATGAAATAAAGGGGATGACAGATATAATTATAGTACTCAATATTTTTACTGTTTGCTATCACTTCCATGTAAAGACATAAATTTACTGGATCCATAAAACAACCCTCTGAAGTAGGAAGAATAATTGTTACTCTCCTACTCAGAATCACTCCTCCATTCACCAACATCAGCTGAGCACTATGCAAACGGCACTGTGCTGAATGCTTTCATAGACATCGCCCCATTTAATCCCATAGTAATAATGTAAGGGTAAAATTGTCATTTTAGATATGGGGAAACTCAGACACGGAAAAGTTAAATGATTGCTAAAGGGTAACATGTACAGTAAATGGCAGAAGCAAGGAACCCAAAGATCTTCTCTTTGGTCCCCAAAGCCCTGTTCCATACCTGTCTTTCCCATGATGCTGGACATCCCAAAGATAACCACCACCCCTCATCAGAGACAATTACTACTCTATTCAGATGTCACCACTGGTCTTTCAAAACACAAGAAGAGAAGAAGATGGAGCTCAGTGCCCCCACCTACCAGGACAGGGAGAGAAGGAAAAACCTTTGTGGTTGCTCTACTCGATCCCCTTTTGCCCTATTTCATGGAGTTCCTTTGGTGAGTACCAGAGCAAAAAGAAGCTATCTGCTATCTGCTACTCAAAACTTCACAACAGAATTAAAGTCATTTATTGAGGTTTTCTCCAGGCAATTTACTTGGGGAACACCTCTAAAATACTAGATGAACCATTTTAACTTACAAGATTCTACCAAGAGGAACAACTGCAAAAAAGAAAAAAAAAAAAAGGCATGCTGCATCTAGATAGAAAAAAAGCCAAAATACTGGCAGCAGCTGCCTAAGGTGTTACAACTAGAACTCACAAATTATAATTTTTTATTACTGGCAAAGCAACAAACCCAAGAGCTTTAAAAATATATATCTGATCAAGAAGAAAATACAGAATAAAGTTTATTTTAGTGAATTAGGACCTAATGAATTAATGATAACCTATGGATTATGCATTCTAATTTGTGTAAAATTGAAATTATAGATGATGCAGAAATCCTACATGCCTCAAAAGAACAGCAAGAAGGAGATAGACCCAAATTCAATATGCAAAACTGTTCACAAAGCCAAGATACCCCAGATGAGGCTGGACCAACCGTCAACATGTGGAAGGGAAGGTACAATGCTGAGAACATTTTATGTTCTCCCATAATAATTTATATTATTGATATTATTAAGTAAATATGCATGTATATGTCTTAAGTTAAAATATTATATTTAAGATAACAATGTGTTATTTTTTTATGGTTCTCTGCTTTAAGGGATTTTGATTAATCAATCACAATTCCCTTAAAAAAAATCTACTACTTTGGCTAAAAAAATAAACACAAAGAATACAAAACAAGTCTCTTAACTTCTAGATACTATTTTCTGCTGAAAGCTCTGATGCTGGTTAGAAAAGAAAAGCAGAAGACACAATAGCACCAAGATGAGACATTTCCTGGACATAATAGAAGAGATTTAAGGATAACTGGAAAAGGATTAACTTCTTTAAATAACTCCATGTATTTTTTTCAAAAATTTTATAGTGTCAAAATACACATATCATAAAATTTACCATCTTAACCACACTTATGTGTACAGTTCCGTGGTATTAAGTATATTTACACTGTGCAACCATCACCACCATCATCATAGCTCTTCTCATCTTGTAAAACCGAAACTCCATACCCATTAAATAATAACTCACTAATTTCCCACTCCTCAGCTCCTGGCGACCATGACTCTACTCTATGATTTTGATTACTCTAAGTATCTCATGTTACATGGAATCATCTAGCCATTTTATGACTGCCTTACTTCACTTAGCAAAATGTTCTCTAGGTTCATACATGTTGTAGCATGTGTCAGAATTTCCTTCATTTGTAAGGCTAAATAAGATCACATTTTGCTTATCTATTCATCCATCATCAATGGACACCTATGTTGCTTCCACATCTTGGCTATTGTGAATAATGCTACTATGAATATGGGTGTACAAATATTTCTTGAGGACCCTGCTTTCAGTTCTTTTGGGTAAATTCCTAGAAGTGGAATGGCTGAATGGTAATTCTATTTTTAATTCTCTGAAGAACCTTCATACTCTTATCCACAGCGGTTGCACCATTTTACATTCCCACCAAGAGCACACAAGAGTTCCAATTTCTCCACATCCCCACCAAGTTATTTTGGTTTTTGGCAGCAGTCATCCAAATGAGTGTGAGGTGGTATCTCATTATAG